GTTGTAATTTTCATCTGGTACACAGTACGGCACATGTATCAACTACAAATACGCGCAACAGCGCTTCACCAGCATCTCGCGAGCTCTCCTTTTCAGCGGTGGCCAGCAGCTACAGTACCTATGTGCAAGGTTGATTGGTCTCCTGTTATGCCTTTCTCTCCTTTTCCCTCATTTTTCCCTGCCTCTCTGCCCCTGCCCTCTGCCAGGGCGATGGATGCACCGTGTTCCCCATTGTGGGACTTCGGAGCACATCGCACATCGCTGACAACGCCCGAGTCCTGGGCTTCACTCTGGACGGAGGGGACCTGGAGGCCATTCAGCAGGTTCTGGCCCGGGCCAAGGGACCGAAGGGGGACATCTACTCATTTGAGAGGGGCATGTAGCTGCGGAGGGGGTGGGACTTGCTAGCTGGGGGGGGGGTGCCGGCTGGGGGGGGAGGGTGGGCTGTGCAGGCGATGTAAGGGCAGCACGAAAGGGGAGAAGAGAGGGGAGAGGAAGAATGGTGTGTGTGTTTCATTTTGACGGAAGGGAAGGAGAAGGTGAGGCAGTACATGGGGTGTGTTGAAGTTTAGGTCGTTTGGTTCGTCGGAACGAACTGAGGAGAGCGGAGGGTAGTGCGCAGGCTAGCAGCAGGAGAATAAGGATTCGTTTTTTTGTTGTAGTACTGGTGTTCTCTTCTTGTCTTGTGTGGTTTTACTTGGTTTACACGTCGTGTGTCAGTGTGGGGTGAAGGGAGAAAGGTGGGGACTACTGTAGACGACTGTCGATTCCATATTGTGGCTGACATACTGACGGGTAAGGCGGGGTAAGGGACATGACTAAGCTGCGTGGGAGGTCCGTGTATGTGTGTGTGTATGTATGTTGTTACAGGGTGTGTGTATGTGCCTTCCTGCCTGCGAGTCTCATTACAAGGCGGCTGGGTAGCCATGCTTGCCAGCAGAAGACTGTCTGAAGTCAAAAATTATGACAAAAATGGACGTTTGTTATTTGATCTATTGTAAATGAACGAAGACATAAGTTGTAGACATACGTTTTGATGTAATAACGTGCCTGTATCTCTGTATATTATCACACCGGCTTCCTGATGCTGGATGGTTTGCATCATTACAGCGGAACACTGAAAAAAGGGAAGTGAAGCGCCCACCCTGGAAAAGATTGCGTGGATGTCGGTTGGATGTGCGGGGGCCGGGACCTATGGCCCGACTGGGGCATGATTTAGGCGAGGCCAGAAGAGAAGAGCTCCACAGTAGAATGCCTAACCGTGTAGAAACGGACCCCAGGGATTAATGTACGGGATGTGAAAAGACAGGAAGGAGGCGTTTAGCTGGCCACCAAACACCTGTCGTACTGAAGGAAAGACAGCGAGCAAGAGTGCTAATCACACTCTGGGACCCCGGGGGCGTTCATTCCATATTCGATTCACATTCATTCCGACCTTCCTTTTGACCCTTCATTCCATAACCCAAATCGAAGGCCCAATATTATTCCAATATTCCAAAATAATATTTTGGAATCAAGACCCCTTCATTACAGAATGGAGGGCAGGATGAACGCTCCCTATGGTTTGAACGCCAACATCAGGCAGAGGACGTCCGCACTTTGAGGCGGCCTTTGCTGTCTGATTGTCTGTCTCATCATGGCTGCTGCAATCTCCCCCCGCCGCCCATGTCCGTGGCCCAGGGTTGCAACGTCCGCTGTGGCCTGGTGTCCTGCAGTGGTGGCGCCTGTGGTCGCTGGCGGCAGCAGTTCCCTCTGGTTGTAACGCCAGCTCAGCCGGAGCAGCGGCATCAGTGTTGCCAACCTCCAGGACTGCGTCCTGGCAGTGCTGTGCCGCCAAGAAGCGAACTTCGTCCCAGCCGCCCACACGCCATACAAGGCCGTGCAGCTCCAGCACATGCAACCCCGATACCCTACCAAGACATGTGTGCACACATGTCCAACAGCCCTCCATACATATGTATAAGGGACTGGGTAAGAGCGTTATGTGACAAGGTCACATGAATGCTGCCAGACAAGTACAACTTATCCAAATGCACGGCAGGCATCATGAAGCCACCGACAATGTGTCATACTTCTCTTGCAAGTGAAAGCATGAAGGTACCAGCGAGTAGAATACAGATTTCCCACGCTTCGAGCACATGAAGGTCACTATGAAGTGGGAACCTGAACATCTGGCAAGGATGCTGGCACGTATATGGACTCACCGCAACCCTATCGTTCCCTTTGTTCGTTAGCCTCATTTATCACTTGCTTTGCCTGAAGTGCGAGGTAGGATGCTGACTCCTGGTACAAACTTACAGTGCAAATTTGCACTTGTAGGCAGGGTAGGTGGGACAGGGATACCTACAAGCCATTGACACCAACATACGGCCCCTGCCAGATCTTCCGGGTTCAGTCGAGGAACATTTATAAACATGGGTTACCCTGTCTGCTACCCCCTTGGTAGTGCATTACCCCGACCCCTTTGTTACCCCTCGGTAAGGGGTTTTACCCGTACCCAGGGGTTAGGTTACCCGCCCCCCTTCTTTTGGATTTGTATTTTCGGTACAAACCCACATGCATGTCTGTTATTTGTGGGCGGCTGCAGCACCGACGGGGTAGGCTACTCGTGAACGGGTCCAGTATGCGAGGGTGGTAGCTGGAATGCCAGCAGGTCCGATGATGTCAGGCGGGTACATGAGCGATACATGATGCAGCAGCAGGTGTAAACAAGACGCTTGGTTGACTAGATTAGCAAGGGCCCGGCCGCCGCCCCCGCGTCCATTGCCACGACCACGTCTGTGGCGCAACGGATGTGCATGCATTGGGGGTGTTATCGTGCCATCCACACACACACATGCATTTCACATCACATCCGTGTTTACTGTGCCTGCGGCTCTCCCTCATCGTCCTCAGCGGTGTCCTCCTCCTCTTCTCCTCCGAGGAGTCCTCCAGCGCCGCCGCCGCCGCCGCCGCGGGCCCACCACCACGGCCAACCCCCGGCCGCGACCACCGCGGCTACGGCTGCCGCGGCCACGGCCCGCGCCACGCCGACCTTCCCCCACACGCTCGGGTCCGCGTCCGCGCCTGTGCGTGCCCATAAATATTGCGTTAGGAGGAGGAAGTAACGTCATCCACCATGGAACCAAGGCAACGTAGGTTGAGGTAAGATTACCGAGGCGGCACCTCTGCTGCATGCCCCACTGCATGCTCGACCGTATGCCCCGCATGCCACCCATACGAGATTGCCGCCATCATACATCTGCTCCATTGAAAGCAACTATATGATAACTATGTAAGGAATATGAACTATACCGAGCCCTAGTATTTTTAGAGCTGGGAAACAGGCTGTGGACCCGGTTGAGGATAGATTCGTTGTCCGTCAGAAAATAGAGTTAAGTTGTATTGATTACAAGAATGCAAAATGCAGTTGGTGTGAAGCAAATGAGGCGCTGGTTATCAAATACCCCCGCAGTAAGTGCTCCTGTAGTACTACCTGAATGCCTGATCTTTAGATGCTCTAGCGGTTCATCATCTACGATTGAAAACATCAAAGGATCGAAGGTCCGACTTCCGAGCTTTGGACCTTCTGTTGAAATTTCAGGAAAAGAGAACGCGCTGTTCGTTGGCAGTTGGTTGCACTTGCACCTATACTTTATGACTATAATTATCACCTTTACGCGGTAGCAGCTGTAGATGTTTGAGCTGTGTCAACATAATAATGATTTCTTGGGGATGGGCTATGTGGTGCTTCTGAGCGACGTCTCCGAACCTCTTGACGTAGGCCTTATGGCCAGCTCTCTTGCAAGCAAGTAGTCGATTCTAGATCAGATTATCAAAGACTAATCCTGATTTGAAGCTGCTTATGTAGGCCCCCGTTATGTATTACCAATGTTGTGCGCCTCATACACGTATAATCTAAATCGTCGCAGCACCACTACCTGCTGTATCGTAGGTCTTTGATTATAAGCCAAAGCCTATAAGGCCCAACTGCGTATAGCATGTTACAAAGTTAGCTTCCCGACCTGGAACCCGGCTTGTCCGTCGGACGCTGCAAGGATGCTCCCAGGGGCATACAGTTGTCCGGTGAGGTGGCGCTGCTTTTTATCACTCATGATCTTGCAGAACATATGTAGACACTTTAAAAGCAGTAGGGTTGCCGGCTGTGTAGCATCGCACATCCAGTGTTGCCATGACTATTCCCCTTCATCAATCTCCCCCATGCTCCTCCCCTCTACTTTCCCCTTTCCCTGGTGCAGCTCCCGGGGGGCCGGTCTCGCGCGCTGACCGACGGCAGTCGCCCTAAGACATCCACGTATCTCAACGCCGCGGTGGATGCCCCTGGCTGCACTACCGTCGCCGCCTTGATCCAGGCCGCGCCAACCCGTGCAAACGGCGGGTTCGCGACCAGCTGTGACACCATCCCACCCCGCCGCTGTCAGACCCTCCTCCCGCGTGCCGCTCTGGACGACCGCTTCCTCCAGCAGCCGCTGCCGCCGCCCCAGCAGCAGCCACCGCTCCCCCCTAATGGACAGCAGCTGCTTTGGCCCGCGCGAGCCGCCGCAACCCCCACTAGCACCACCACCAGCCCCGGGTCCCCCAGCCCTATCCCTAGCCCCAGCCCTAACTCCAGCGTCAGCATCAGCAGCACCGCCCCTGCGGAGGCCCTCCGGCCCCGCCGCTTCAGTGCACCCGTTATTGCTCGGCTGCTGAGGTCCACCACCAGCTTGCAGGTGACTTCTTGTGTCATCGGAAAACTAGGGAGAGGCCGCCCAGTTAGGCGGCTCGGAGTCACGACCACATACGTCCCAACCGAGCAGTGGATCTGGATTCCACTCTTAGCGCTGGTGTGGTGCTTTATGAGGCTGCGGG